TTCCATTTTTTGGGTCATATTAATCGCTAGCTAAAGGGTTTACATCGTCGTGTCAGTTATGTAAACTGAGGTCAACTGTGAGGGGACCATCACATGGGATAGGTATCTCCCGCTACTTCCCCCCCGGTGTTTGATAAACCCGTTGCGTTATCCCCTTCCAGTTCCTTGTGTCCCCATTTGGGTGGGGTCTTATATAGGGACAGGTTGTCACGTGGGTACGTGTTGGGGTGAAATAACTCCTTAACATATGGTGCACATTTCGACGTGGCGTCATTTGTAAGGTCCATTTGGGAAAAAAAAATAAAATAAAATAAAATAACGAGGGACTAGCTTTGCGTTACGTATACGGCAACTGTATGTACGACGTCTCTTCTTTCTCTTTTTGGGGTATATAAGGTACGTTGACAATGCGCAAAGGAGACTACTCCTGGCCAGTTTGTTGTGAGGCAATTTTACTCTTGCCACGTGAAAGGTACACAAAACGGTGAGGTGAGGAGTGTATCTCCCATATGGATTTTTTTTTTTTTTTTTTGTATGACCTAGTCAGGCGAAAGCGCCTCTTACGAATGACTATCCGATAAGGGGGCTCTCATTTGAGAAGGGTTATTTTGTGGCCACAGTTAAGGAGGCGAAGATGACTGTTGCCCGATTAGTCCTCTTTTGTGTGTGCAACATCATCTTCCCCCCACTGCGACATGTGCCCTTCTTTATAATCCCTGCAGAGGGGGCGCACACAAAATGGGCAAAATTTTCGCAGCGGGATGGGGGGGGGAGAATACACTCCTTTGAGAGGGCAGTTATTGGCGCGTGCAATTCCTTGCGGCTCGCTCCCTTCACGCTTCTCCTGTGCGCGGTGACCTAAACGGGTAAGCAACTGAACGACAAAGTGGCTAAGCAAATGCGCGCTGGCGTTCTTCCCTGCCCATGTGCACGCGTCGAGATTACAATCCGTAAACACATGGAACCGTTTCACTGTTCACCGGTAAACTTGCACGCTTTAAAAAAAAAAAAAAAAAAAAAAAAAAAAAATCATTTAAAGAGAGGCGCCCCTTTGGTAAAGGCCTAACAAATGATTTATGCCAACTGTGGCATGTGTTTTTTTTTTTTTTTTTTTTTTCTTTTCCCCCCCTCCTCGGTTGTGAACTTCCAACTGCAACTGCACACGTTGTTATGATGTAATTTTTACAATTTGCAGTCAGGCGAGTCTGCGCAAAAGAGAGTTTCCTTTTGGTACCGTTTCCCCGTACCATATTCACCCCATCTGGACGAACCAGCTAGGAGAGAATCTGCCTGAACAGCATACGTACCACACACGGTGGCACTCCACTAGGAAGGCAGTTAATCATCCCTGAGGATCAACTGGCTTAGAAGCTAGATTTGGTTATAAGTAGCTTGAGCATCTCCTTTGTGGTGCTCCCCCTTTTGGTACCCCCCCCGAGCAAGAAGCCAGAATGACGCTAGGCCCGGTGGTTACGGGCACGTCGGTTATTGCCCTCAAGTACAAGAATGGCATTATGATAGCTGCCGACAAGAAGGGTAACAAGTGGTGGAAAATGTACACGTGCATGAGCGTGTTATGCGCAGACGGCGGTATGCCCGTCACGGCTCTCCTCCTACACCATACCAATGCCTGCTTCCTCCCCTTCAGCGAGTTACGGGAGCTACGCCAAGTTCCAGAACGTGGAGCGCATTTTTAAAATCAACAACAAGACGGTGATGAGTTTCAGCGGAGAGCTGGCGGACGCGCAGTACCTACACGAGGTGCTCACCCGAGTGAACGTAAACAATGTCATGGACAAGAAGAGCAAGTACGACTTGCATAACACCAAGTACTATCATGCTTATGTGAGTAGGCTCTTTTATAACCGAAAGAATAAAATCGACCCGCTTTTCAATACAATTATCGTTGCGGGGGTGAACTCACAAGAGTACGATGATAATGATAAGGACGTGTTGCTCTACTCAGACAAACACACCAGTGATGAGTACAAGGAAATTAATAAAGAAGATTTATACATTGGTTTCGTGGATATGCATGGAACTCAGTTTTCAGCTGATTATATGACAACGGGGTACGCTCGTTACTTTGCTCTAACCCTGCTTAGGGATCACTACAAGGATTACATGACAGAGGAGGAAGCGAAGACTTTATTGAATGAGTGCTTGCGTGTGCTTTACTACCGGGACGCCACAGCGTCGAACAAAATTCAGATCGTGAAGATTACCAGCAAGGGTGTGGAGTATGAGGAGCCGTACTTCCTCTCCTGCGACATGAACTCGCGCGATTATGTGTACCCCTCGATTATGTTGCCCTCCACGGGCTGCATGTGGTAAACGCACACGGGTACCTCTTTGCGTTTCGTCTTTTTTCTTTCTTTTTTTATATATATATATATTTTTTTTTTTCTATCACTACAAGGCGTTGTAAAAAAAAAAAAAAAAAAAACGCACCGAAGGGGATGCAAACTTCAAAACGAACAAACGGGGTGTGGGGGCCTGTCTGGGCGCCCACCCAATGGTGTTATAGTAAGTTTCTTCTTGCCGGAAAAAAAAAAAAAACAATTAGCAATGGGCCGCTCGTCCGCCGCTAACCGCGCCAATCGCGCTAACCGTGTGCCCCCCTCAGAGGTAGGCGTGGCTGAAGTAGTCGTCCCGCTCAGCGCTCTTGTACTCGTCAATCAGGTTTTGTGTGATTTCCTTGGAGGACTCCATTTCCTCAAAGTTGCCCTGGCCATCCGCGCTGCTGAACATGGGCTCCTTTTTATAATTGTCCAAGAAGGCCCTTCTTTTAAAGAGTCTGTCAAATTGAGTGACACATCGTTCGAAGAGGGTGGAGATGGACGTGTGGTTTGCCATCATCAACCCGGAGACCTTATGAGTGGAGACTACGTGAGGAGATGGTTTGGCTAAAGTGACTTGAATGGAGGCAGGATTCCATTTGATAAAATTAACAAGCTTTCTATCTCGTATCCTTTGTAGTCCTTTATGTACTTGTGTGGGGTCGGTTTCTCCTCTGATGATGTTCAGGATGGAAATGTACATGCCTCTCCTGACTGGTACAGACACCATAATATTTTTCGTATGCAATAGTCTCTTCATAACATCGAGTACAGTCGTTTTTTGTACGTTGGAGAGATGCTTGTCAATGGTAATAGGTGTGTATGAGGTAACCAGGAAATGACACTTAGGATTTATAATAAGAGATGAAATTAAACTGATCATGTCGTTGTTCATACTACCAGGGTATCTTAAGGTTGTAGTGGAAGCGGACATGACATTTGAAATTATTGTATTGGTTTGTTGAAACGTGGGGTTGTTTAATTTTAATCGGTCCACAAAGATTCTGTTCAAGGATGTATTATCAATGACTACTACACTGTCTGTACTTAGAATTAATCTCTTCAATGTAAGTATGCTATTGTAGGGTTGCACCACTACATCACTACTTTCATTCGTCAGGAGAGGAAAAACAGAAAAGGTTTGTATTACTTTCTTTGAATAATTGTCATTCAAAAGTTCAAGTAAGTAACTACCCATACCGCTACCAGTCCCTCCTGCAATTGAATGAGATAAAATGAAGCCCTCCAGGTTGTCACTGTTATCTACCTCCCGATCAATCATGTCAATTATTTCTTCTTCAACCTTGTGTCCTTGGCTGTATCCACACCCCCAGTTATTCCCTGCTCCTCCTCCTTCTTTAGAAATGAACATATTTTCAGGGTTGTATAGGTTACGATATTCGCTGGCTTGAATGCTGTTAATAACTCTTGGCTCTAGGTCAAAGAGCAGTGCCCTTGGGATGAAGTGTTCATCGTCTGCTTGGTAAAAGAAAATGTCCTTGCGGTCCTCGTTGAGGTAATTATTGTTTTTCAATATTCCCTCTTTGTCTATGTTGTGTTCGTTGCACAACTGCTTCCAGAACTCCACTCCGATCTGGTTTCCGCACTGCCCGCACTGCAGGGTGATGATTTCCCTTGGCATCTTTCTCTCACGGGGGGGGGGGGGGGGGGGCGACAATGACTTGTGGTGTGATGGGCCAATTTGCACACTTCTGCGGGGCCGCTCAGTCGGGCGTCGGGGTCACGCGTCAGACGTTGCGTGGGAGATTTCCAACCCTCAAACGTGCCGCCGACTCGACTGGCCCCTTTGCAAAGGAGGAGCACCGCGACGCGGCCAACCTGTGTGCAAGCCTGGAAAATTCACGCACAGGTGAAAATTGCACAGGGGGAGGGGACACACTTAAAAGGGGACATTAACACTTCATTACACAAGCCCAAGAACGAGTGAAAAAAAAAAAAAAAAAAAAAAGGACAAGGAGGGTCCCCGCGAACAAACTGCTGAAGGGTTACCTTCTCCCCTCTCGTGCATGCGTAGCTGCGTGGCGAGGGAATGAACTACGGCTAAGAAAGGCGTTTTCAAGTGGATCTTCAAAAGGGGGGAAAATGAAGATTACAAATATAACAGGAAAAATTAATGAGCGAATTGGGAAACCAGGAAAAAGGGAAAGAGTGGAAAAGGTGCAGAGATAGAGAGAAAGAAAAAAAAAAAAATACTTGCGTAATATCTCGCTGCACTTGCACGGATCTCGTGCTGTGCTCGTTTTCCGCAGAGCTTATTTTGGTTGATCATTTGGTCGTGTCACCCACCTTCATGTGGAAGTCGCGTTGCCTTATTTTCCATTTGAACACTTCGACCTCTATGGGAAGTCCCCCCTCCGTGGAACGTAGACATCCGAACAAGCCTATGAAAGGTTGTGCTCCCTCGAGAGAGTTTTTTTTTTTTTTTGTTTTTTTTCTCTCTCTCGAAACGTACACACTCTGCTAATCAGTTGTTCCCCCGTTAAGGAGAAACTCCCACGATTTAACAAGTCGCAGAAAAGTCATCCCCCCCCTATGTGTTGGGTACGTTTGATGGGGAAAACCAAAACGGGGCGAAGCACACCGTGTGTGAGCAGCTCCACCACGAATGAGCTGCGTGTTCGTCTTGCCCTAGCTCAGGTTAGTTTTAGCTGAGCTTACTCGTAGGAATAAACAAATTTTAATTAACAATCGGTCGGTTTCAATCATTATGGAGAGGATTTGAGATGCATCTCTACGAGCATTTCCTCCCCCGGAAAAACCAACTCCCAGCAGGGGAGAGTATAGCACATATGCAAGTACGTAGCATATAATACGGGTGAAGGAAAAGGGATAACCAAATGAGCGTAGAAAAAGAATAAATCAGAAAAAACGTTTCATCAAATAGGTACCAAATAAAACAATACTGCGAGACAGTGTAGGGGAGGATCAGACACACATGGAGCGTGTCTGGGGGGCGGATATCATAAACAAAACGAGTAAGCCACTCACTCGGCTACGGTCAAACACACACAAAAAAAAAATCGTAATGAAATATGAACAAGCCAGCTACAAATGGTAGAAAAAAACAAAAAAAATGTCCAAAAAAATATGAACAGGCAAGGTAAAAAATAAAAACTGACGAGTGAAAAAGTAACATGGCCTATTTAACACCACTCAGGTGTGTCAAAAAAGGAGGAAAGAAAAAGTTCAGCCAATGAACATACGCTCGCTGTAGTACTATCCGAATTTGAAAAGAGTCATTTTTCCCTACTGGACAATTACCTCAATTACTTTATACATCATTATTGCAAGCATGAACACCAGGAAGCTCCAAACGACTGCGTGTGTGTGCGTGTGTGTGTAAGGGGTGGGAGAGGAAAAAAGAGACCGATAAATGAGAACAATAAATAGGGTATATCAATATGCATAAACGAACATGCGCGGTATGACCCCGCTTTCACAGTGCGTTGTAGAGAATGTCTTACCCAATCTGTGGCGCATACTCTGCGATAGGGGATTAAACTCCGCCTTGAAGTACCTCTTCGCTGTGGACCATGCCGAAGAAGTGTTGTCATTCGCCTGAACAGCCGTTTCCGAGGGCCCCGTATTGTTGGCATTTTCAAAAGTTTTCTCTTCACCAATGGTCATTATATCGAGGTAGTCCTTTACAAAGGTGTAGTGGCTAATTTTCGTGTGATTATTTTTATTTGTTGAGCCGGGCTGTATATACCTATCTTCCATCGCTTCCTGTGTGTACCTCTTCAGATTGTTGACGGAGATTTCCAGCTCAGGGAGGGCGTTGTTTTTTATTTGATATTTAAAAAAAGTGTGCTTTACAAATTCGATGTCGTACGCAAAGTCGATGTGTGTACCGGGGGTTCCTCCAAGGGTAGCTTGGCCCGTGTTGTCCCCTTCCAGGAGCACATTGTGGAGGGTGATTGTGATGATTGTACGGAAGGAGTCTACTAGCGGCACACTGCACAGAAGAACAACGCACTTTTGTATGACAATGGCATTCTGGAGAAAAAAAAAAGATAAATGTTCCTTCACGTCGGATCGTGCAGGCATGCCAAACACTCTCTTCTCATCATCAAACAGGGATATGTTGTAAAAGGATTCATACGACAGGTGTCCCTTGCTCTGTAGCTCCCTATTCAAATTCTTCAAGTGCTCATAACTTAAATTGTTCGGGTTTTTGTCCTCAACACTTTTCACAAAAGGATTCTTATCATCGAATTGGGAGAAAATGTCAAGGAATATTTTTTTAAAATCTTCATTTATTTGTAGACTATCGGTATGGTAGTTGCATTGGATAAAGTTGTTTTCCCTCAACAGTTCTTCTTCCTTGTCTGCAATGTGTGGTTGTACTATATCGTTTCCCGTTTGTATCACTATATAATTTTTTTTTTCTTTGTGTGGAGGGATGGATCTGGCTGTGTTTTCCTCTTCATCAGCTGGCTCTGCTGGAAGCTCTTCCGCCCGCTTGGGCTGGTCATTCATTAGTAGGTCGTGCTGCGTAGGGGTGATGGTGTAAAGGATGGACTGGTCATGCTGTTTCTTCGAACTCTTCGCTTCGCTGAGCAGACGGGGGCGTTTCTTCTTTTTCTTCTTCTTCCGCCTGTTTAGCTGTCCTTGCTCGGTTGTTCCTTCCTCTTGGCTTGACTCTTTGGTCGTTTCGTTTTCTTCTTCCTCCCCTTCTCCCTCTTCATCATGATCGTCCTCATCCTCATCATCATAATAATCATCCTCCGTGTTGTAGAGGACGACGCCCTTCTTGGGAATTTGGCTAGCCAGTCTATGGTCCCGGACCATGTCCATGATAAAGTCGTAAGCATGATCCCTGTGTACAAAGGATGTGAAAAGGAAGGACTTGTTTTTCACAACAATCTTCAGAGCATTGGGGATGAAGTTAAGGACGCTCATTTTTTCTACGGCTTGTATGGATTCGTAAGGAATGCGGAGGATGGAGATGTTTGAGAAGAGTGAGTCGAAGAGGGACATGAAGTAGACGCTATCATGTGTGATAAATATTTTTCCGTGAAGGAGTATTTTTTTCATGAGGGCGCAGCTGTATGTTTTGATGGAGCTTCGGATGATTGCATCTAAGTCGTTTTTGTCGTGCACGGTGTACGAGTAGTTCTCCTCGGAGGGGAGTGGGCCCGGGTCGGCCTCTCCTTCGTTCGCATCTCCTTCATTTGTAACATCATGGTTGACATTGTCCTCTTCCACCGTGTTCCCCTCTGCTTCTGTCTTCCCTTCCTTCGTTCTCCCCCTAAGCTTCGACTTCCTCCTTGTGTCATACGCTTGTTTAAAGCAGTCCAGCATGCCTTCACCCACACCGTCCAGTGAGAACTCGCTGGAGCCGTCGTACGACTCGGTGCTCTGTTCTTCTATGGAGAGCGCAGGTTCGGCTTCGTCCCCTGGCGGTGGGGCAGTGTCTTGGCCCATGTCTTCTTCTTCTTCTTCTTCTTCCACTACTACTCCACCTACTTCTTCCATTCTTCCCACTTGCTGCCCTACCGCTGCTCCCCCTTCTTCGGAACAACCAGCGTCATCCCCCAAGGTAGCCAACGGAGTAGGGGCTCGGAAGTCGTTCACTTCTCTACACGCTACTCCAGGCGGCAGGTTCTCATTAACAATGTCATGAGAGAAATTTCCTCCTTTTGAAAAGTCATCAAAGCAAAGTTGGTTTCCCACATTGCTTGAACAATTAATATTTTTCTGTGAGTCGCTTGGGAGGTTGCACCGTGTGTGGATGAGGATGTTGGGTTGTTGGGTGGCAGTCCGCTGGTTAGCAGATAGGTCAGCCGATTGGTCAGTCGCTTGGTCAGTCGCTTGGTCAGTGGCTTGCCCTGTTGACCTCCCCTCCCTGGAGTCGGTTACGCTGCTTCCGTCCGGGGGCTTGCCTTCGGAAGGGTCCCTCCGCATGATTTCAAAAAAAAAAAAATTGGGGTTCCTCAAAAGGTACGCGATTTTCTGATCCGCTTCGGGTTCTCCGATGGTGCACTTTCCTGCGTGGGTTGGCGGGGGTAAATGGTTTGTAGATTTTATAAGTCTCGAGGTGCCCACAACAGAGTTCTCAGGTGAAAAATGGGTTTTTACGCATAAGTGTATATACATGTGTGTGCTTACACAAATGAACATGCAGGCTCCGCTGTCACGCAGGTGTGTGTGTGTACTTGTGCTAAGTTACGCGCACTTACACAGAACATTTACACATGAGAACTAACACAGGTGTACATTTATAAATGCACAGAAATAAGTTTGCACCGGGGTGGAAGCTTACAAGTGCGCTAGGGGTTACATGCGCATTTTTTTTTTTTTTTTGTTTTTTTTGTTTTTTTTGTTCCACTGATTGCGTGTTCATGCGTTCATGTTTGGAAGCCCTTTTAGCATGTTTTTTTTTTTTTTTTTTTTTTTTTTTTTTTTTTTTTGTTGTTGTTGTTGATCTCACATCGTACACTTTGCAGGAGGCGCGCTTACCGTCGTGGCAACTGGCCTATTAACCCTTGGATGGTAAAGGTACACTTGCGCGATTTTTCTTGACGCCACCTCCCCCCCCTACACAGGTGTACCGCGTACACTTTTACGTATACGCATTGTTCTTTCCTCCCTTCATTCGCCCACACGGGGAAAAGAAGTTGCCCCGCTCTTTGTTCTACTTTATCAAATGTAATGTGAATTATCCTCCCCCCCCAGTTGATGATCCCAATGCACACTCTTTTGTAAGTGCGCAATGCAAGGGGGAAACGAAAAAAACAATATTATTTTTCACTTCACACGCATGAACACACACTTGGGCAGTCATCCCAAGGCAGAGGCTATCACAAAAAAACTCCATAAGTTATCATTCGAGGTTGTGCACATTTATATATATATGTGTAGAGGAGCATGTAAGTTTCCTCTTCTCACAACTTGCGTCAAGGTACAATGTAACCATATCATTGAACTCCCCTTTTCCTTTTTCCTACACATGATGCAAGTACGGTTCGTTCACGTACACATATAGGAAGCGCTCCCTGGGGGAGAAGCGCTCCGTCAGGGTGGGAACAAATAGGACGTTTTATTTGTGACCCTACTTTTTAATTCCTCCTTTGGGTGTTTGTTCCCCTCATCGCCATCATGTGGCTATGTACACGTTGCACAACTTTTCTTCCCCTCCAAGTGGAACTTTTTTACTTGAGTTGGTTTGGCTGCCACTGCATTCACCTACGTCTTTGAAGTGGGACGAGGAGGATAACTGTGGAGTGCGCACCGAGACTGATCGATGGGCATAATCGAAAAGGTCGACCCTCTTATGCTATATTTGCACAGCACTTTTTTAACAGAAAAAAAAAAAAAAAA